AAAGGCAAGACTGGCAATGAAATTCTGACCTATTTCTGCCATTCTCAGTGGCATAAAGAATGGTTTGAAATTTAACAAGAGTTACAAAACATAACTTTATATTAAATTGATTTTGTTACTGGATCAAAAATCCGGTAAATTCTGTAAAAGTAATTTTGACAATTTGGAAAATGGTTTTATGTATTTATGTAAATAATGTGGTATTATTTGACACCCAAGAATTTATATTAAGTTTTCTGTGGATAATTACAGTTTATTATTTATATCAAAATCCATATTTTTAGGGATGGCAAAACAACAGAATGTAGGAATAAGGTGGCATGGTCATGTAGGACTCCTTCCACGCTTTTATATTGTCTGCTTAAAAATGCAGGAGATCATGCAGAAGTTTTAAACCTTCAGGTTCAAAGATTGCTTAGGTTACTTCTACCTCGTATTCATTGGTGAGGACACAGTTACATGGTCCTCAAACACTTTGAGAAGAAAGATTGAAAATGCAGTCTTTCTGGATGCAAAAGAAAACAAATAAAATGGTAAACACATATCTTCAAGTCTCCCACTCCGTTTTTCATTGTTTTTCTTAAGTAAAATATTTTTCTCAATTCAATAGAACATTACTATACATATTAAAATGTTAGCGAACTTATGTTAAGAGTTTATGACAGGTCTGGCACTCAGTTAAATCCCTTTACATGAATTAGCTCATTTAAGTCCATTCCCAAAGCACCTATTTTAAGATGAGAATAATTAGCCAAAAAATGTCTTGCAAGTAGGAACTAAACTAGGTTGTGAAATCACAGAGTCTGACTTCATGATGTCTTCCTGATAAGGTTGCTAGGATAATATATCAAAGTATTGCAATGTATTTCTTATTAAAAGAATTATATTTTTAAACCTAACCATCAAAACTAATGTCACATAATGTAATTAAATTTTTCTCTTTTTTTATGTTTGCATGTTTTTCTTTTTTTTTTTTTTAAATCATACTTTAAGTTCTAGGGTACATGTGCACAATGTGCAGGTTTGTTACATATGTATACATGTGCCATGTTGGTGTGCTACACCCATTAACACGTCATTTACATTAGGTATATTTCCTAATGCTATCCCTCCCCACTCCCCCCACCCCATGACAGGCCCCGGTGTGTGATGTTCCCCTTCCTGTGTCGAAGTGTTCTCATTGTTCAATTCCCACCTATGAGTGAGAACATGTGGTGTTTGGTTTTCTGTTCTCGCAATAATTGGCTGAGAATGATGGTTTCCAGCTGAATCCATGTCCCCACAAAGGATATGAACTCATCCTTTTTTATGGCTGCATGGTATTCCATGGCGTATATGTGTCACATTTTCTTAATCCAGTCTGTCATTGATGGACATTTGGGTTGGTTCCAAGTCTTTGCTATTGTGAATAGTGCCGCAATAAACATATGTGTGTATGTGTTTTTATAGCACCATGATTTATAATCGTTTGGATATATAACCAGTAATGGGATGGCTGGGTCAAGTGGTATTTCTAGTTCTAGATCCTTGAGAAATCACCACACTGTCTTCCACAATGGTTGAACTAGTTTACAGTCCCACTAACAGTGTAAAAGCATTCCTATTTCTCCACGTCCTCTCCAGCACCTGTTGTCTCCTGACTTTATAATGATCGTCATTCTAACTGGTGTGAGATGGTATCTCATTGTGGTTTTGATTTGCATTTCTCTGATGGTGAGTGACGATGGGTATTTTTTCATGTGTCTGTTGGCTGCATAAATGTCTTCTTTTGAGAAGTGTCTGTTCATATCCATCACTCACTTTTTCATGGGGTTGTTTGTTTTTTTCTTGTAAATTTGTTTGAGTTCTTTGTAGGTTCTGGATATTAGCCCTTTGTCAGATGAGTAGATTGCAAAAATTTTCTCCCATTCTGTAGGTTGCCTGTTCACTCTGATGGTAGTTTCTTTTGCTGTGCAGAAACTCTTTAGTTTAATTAGATCCCATGTGTCAATTTTGGCTTTCATTGCCATTGCTTTTGGTGTTTTAGACATGAAGTCCTTGCCCATGCCTATGTCCTGAATGGTATTGCCTAGGTTTTCTTCTAGGGCTTTTATGGTTTTAGGTGTAACATTTAAGTCTCTAATCCATCTTGAATTAAGTTTTGTATAAGGAGTAAGGAAGGGATCCAGTTTCAGCTTTCTACATATGGCTAGCCAGTTTTCCCAGCACCATTTATTAAATAGGGAATCCTTTCCCCATTTCTTGTTTTTCTGAGGTTTGTCAAAGATCAGATGGTTGTAGATGTGTGGTATTATTTCTGAGGACTCTGTTCTGTTCCATTGGTCTATATATCTGTTTTGGTACCAGTATCAGGCTGTTTTGGTTACTATAGCCTTGTAGTATAGTTTGAAGTCAGGTAGCATGATGCCTCCAGCTTTGTTCTTTTGGCTTAGGATTGTCTTGGCAATGCAGGCTCTTTTTTGGTTCCATATGAACTTTAAAGTAGTTTTTCCAAATTCTGTGAAGAAAGTCATTGGTAGCTTGATGGGGATGGCATTGAATCTATAAATTACCTTGGGCAGTATGGCCATTTTCACGATATTGATTCTTCCTATTCGTGAGCATGGAATGTTCTTCCATTTGTTTGTGTCCTCTTTTATTTCATTGAGCAGTGGTTTGTAGTTCTCCTTGAGGAGGTCCTTCACATCACTTGTAAGTTGGATTCCTAGGTATTTTATTCTCTTTGAAGCAATTGTGAATGGGAGTTCACTCATGATTTGGGTCTCTGTTTGTCTGTTATTGGTGCATAAGAATTCTTGTTATTTTTGCACATTGATTTTGTATCCTGAGACTTTGCTGAAGTTGCTTATCAGCTTAAGGAGATTTTGGGTTGAAAATTTTCAGCAGAATCCCTGAATTTTGTTTTTTACTTAATGAAAAAGCAAGTATATTTTCCTTATAATAGCTATTCTTGAGAGGTAGTTTTGAAGAAAATTACTCAAACCTCAAAGTCAGACAAATCTAGGTCTGAAACTGTGCTCTAATACCTATTATCAAGTGGCTTAATTTCTTCAATCTTTTCTTTTTAATCAAGAAATAGATATAATTTAAAAAATCTTATAGGCTTGGTGTAACAAGTATAACATGAGCCAAGAAATTAAAAGATGCCAGGATAAATGAGAAACATATTAGTTATAATAAGGCCAATTTACATTTTATTTCAGCTATTCAATTTTAAATGTGCATTGTCTTATCTGTTCCTTATGAAAATCTCGGTGAAATAAGTAGAGCAAATATTATGACCTTCATAATATGCTAGATAAGAAAACTAAGACTGGGGGCATAAATTACTTCTTTATGATTACACAGCTACAAAAATCAGGCATGGCGGCCAATTTGTTTTAAGTTGTATTGTTGCAACTTTTATTTTCCACAATATATCAGTGTGCAGTTCTTTCTTGCACATCTCCTTATGGGAAGTAAAATCTCTAGCTTTTCCTATTTTCTGAAATAGTATATGAAGAATCTGAATAAACTGAAAAGTTCTGTGGAGTCTTTTATTAGCAACAAAATCAGTACTCAAAGGAACATAGTCAATAGCTATTTAAGCTACAGAATAAAAGGAGAAACCAAAAACATAATTGCGGATCCTCTACCAGAGCCTTTCAGAGTTAATACATGTCAAACCACAAGGAACATTACAAACTGAAATCAATCAGTATTCAGAGAAATTCAGGCCAGTATTTGAATTCAGAGATCAAATGCATCTGACAGTATCTGTAAGCTACTCCTGAGACAGATTTAGTTATTTGAATGAAATAATGAAAATAAAAACTTTTATCAGAGTCTATATATAAAAAAATACTGTTTTTCTGAAAACTACCAGGCTAATTACATTTGCTTCTAATAATTAATAGTATTTATACTTTTTTTTTTTTTTTTTTTTTTTTTTTTTTTGAGACGGAGTCTCGCTCTGTCACCCAGGCTGGAGTGCGGTGGCCGGATCTCAGCTCACTGCAAGCTCCGCCTCCCGGGTTCACGCCATTCTCCTGCCTCAGCCTCCCGAGTAGCTGGGACTACAGGCACCCGCCACCTCGCCCGGCTAGTTTTTTGTATTTTTTAGTAGAGACGGGGTTTCACCGTGTCAGCCAGGATGGTCTCGATCTCCTGACCTCGTGATCTGCCCGTCTCGGCCTCCCAAAGTGCTGGGATTACAGGCGTGAGCCACCGCGCCCGGCCTACTTTTTTTTGTTTTTTTTTTTTTTTTTTTTTTCTTTTTTGAGACGGAGTCTCCGTCCGTCGCCCAGGCTGGAGTGCAGTGGGGAGATCTCGGCTCACTCCAAGCTCCGCCTCCCGGGTTCACGCCATTCTCCTGCCTCAGCCTCCTGCGTAGCTAGGACTACAAGCGCCCGCCACCACGCCCGGCTGATTATTTTGAATTTTTCTTAGAAACAGAGTTTCATCGTGTTAGCCAGGATGATCTCCTGACCTCGTGATCCACCCACCTAGGCCTCCTAAAGTGCTGGGATTGTAGGCCTGAGCCACTACACCCGACCAATATTTATACTTTTATTGAGGGCGCCCTATGTGAAAAACACTTTTCAGTTGATAATTTAATTGTCAAAAAACCCTATAGGGACTACTTTTTGCATTTCATAGATGAGCTAATTTATAGAATAGTCGGGTAACTTCAAGGCACATAGCTAGTAAGTAATAAACGCAAGACTTAAGTCATTCCTGAAGTTAAAGACCTAAGTCTCCATTACCAAACTATACGTCCTTGTTTATAAAGGTGATCTCTGTGGAGGATAGGAGTAGTTTAAGGAATGATGTTATTAAAAATAATAACTAAAAACTTATACATTTATGACTAGGTATAAAAAGTACATAGTTATTTTGGGTAAGGCAATTTAAATGGATCTGAGTGTCTTATGAGTTTGGGATTGTACTAGACAGATGTATTCACAATTGTTAAATTCCAACAGTAAAAAGTTACAAGTTTTGTGTTTTTTTTTTTTCAGTCTGGCAAAACAGAGTTTGGAACTTCTCCAAGGTAACATATTATGAGTTTAACAACATTATACTCAGAATTATGGTAAATATTTAGAGTAATTAGGAAATATGTCCACATGTTTTAAGCCACTCTCTGAATTTCTACTCTTCTGAGAATTGCAAAATCTGATTTTGGTGAACTTTTTGAACTGATGGCATTATAAACTGCTGCTGATATGAATTTGGAAATTTCATTCTTTATCTGGAGAATTCACCTTTAAGCCAAATACCTTGACTAGCCTCTATCATTTTATAATTTATAGTTGGTTTTGTTTTGCCTTTAATGCTCCACAGAAAAGTTCACTACTTGTTGTAAATATCAACCCAGTTGCTCAACCTTCCATTTCACATGTCGTTATGGAATCTGACTTTACAAAATAGAATAATACCTGTCAATCTCAGTTTTTTTCGCTGTTCGTAAATAATTTATTTGTTCTTATCAATCCATCCACTCAGAATGCCTTTGTTTTGCTCCCCAATTTTTCCACAAATACCTTATGATTCAGTTCTACTGTACTTTATACCTCTCAGACTTAAAAACTGATTGTGAAACCTCTGAAGTTTTATGTATAAACTTCTTTTTTGGTGTGAGTGAATTCTTCAGTTATTTCATGTTATTAGCATGTCTTTAAAACTTAAGTGGGAGCAAGAACTATGTCTAAATACTCACTGGAATTACTAATTCCAGATCTTTTCATGTTGATTAACACAATTTAGACACTTAGTGCAAGAAAGGTTTGCATGATTGTGTGAGAAAGTTAGGGAAATGAATCCATCTTTTATCTTTGTTTTAAAAGTTCTAAGTAAAAATTAACTCAAATGTTTATAAAGTACTAATGATAGCAAATAATCTTGACATAACAACATAAAATCTAAACAAGCTACTTAAAAGTAATCAGTAGGCTAAGATCCTAAAACATAGTTTTCAATTCTAAGTAATAAAATATTTTAATACCTGCTCTATTGCAAATTCTAAGATGAAGTTGGAGTATACCTAATTCTAATTGTTCGGATCGTCATAATATTTTGCAAGAAAGGCACTGCTGATTTTCAATTGTTTTATGTCTTTTTTCAGAGAAAGTGTTTCCGTTCATGATGATGCTCACTCTACTTTGATATTCCCAATGTCCAGCACAGTGCCTAATACAAAAGAGACAATAAATGAGTAGTTCTCAAACTTTTTTGACTCCTAAAAGAATCATCTAGATTACTGGTTAGGAAAGAGATTCCCAGAAAGTCAGTGGTTTTTGTGAGGCCCTTATATTTGCATTGTGAAACAGGTGATACAGGTAACTCTGATGCTCATGGTCCATGGACCATACTTTCAGAAATGGTTTAATAAATTAGCAAGTGCCTGGTTGTAATAGAGTTTATCAAGTGGCCAATGAAAGCTCAGGAAATAATTCCTATGTTTTGCAGAAGACATAAAAGTTTCACAAAAGACAATTTAAGGACAAAATGCAATGATTTAAAGGAAAAAGGAGAAAGCATTGAGAGAAAATTGGAAGAATGCCGTTGAGCAGAAGTGTATTGATGGCATTATATCATCATTATTTATTCTACTATGGTAATTGTCAGCATTTTCCTTTATAGTATTTTTTTCCTGTTAGAAGGAAGTTCTCAGCATTAGTCACAGCCAAAGAGCAGTGGGTGTTGTCCTGGGGAGTAAGGTGCCTGAGAACATTAGTGTCAGTTAAGAATGATGCCCCCACAGTTCCTGAAAAAAGGTCAAAGAGAGAAAGGTGACACTGACTCAGGTTGAGAATAGGAGGACGTATTCTGCCATGCTCCGAACAGCCTCGTCTCTGAGGAGACAGGTAATGACAGAGCATCATTCACAGTGTGTTAGCAAGCGCCCAGTGGGGATTAGTTTCATCTGTGAGAAACACCTGAGAAGATTGAAGATATTGAAGTATTTCCTACTGAATAGTATTTAAGATGGTTTCTTAAATATAAATTATGTCCAAATTTTTGTCTTGTCCTCTCAGAAAAAAACAGTTCTGGGGTTGCTGTCTCTATTCTTTCAACATATCGTCCTGTTATTTTTTCTGTATTCTCATGTTTTGATGGCAAGCCATGATTTTTTAAGACTTGAGGTAGCCTCTTCCAATATGAAGTGGCAGAATTCTAGTAAAGCTTTTCTAATATTTTTAAACAGTCTAAAAATTGTGAGATGACTCCAGTTTTTGCTAGAATATCAAAATGGCCCCAAGCAGTGTTAGAAAATTTGTGATGTTTGCTTTAAACATTCTTTTTTGTGTGTGTGACCCTGGTAGAAAACCTCCGAATGCCTGCTGAGTCAACTAGAGCCCAGTATCTCCTGATATTTCCAAAACATTTTCTATCCCCTATTTAGTTCAGTTAAATTAGCTAAGCATTAATTTAACATTGACTGCAAGCCAGGAATTAGCTACAAAATCAGTACTCAGAGGAACAAAACTATACAAAACAAATGAGACAGAGACACTGGCTTCAAGAAATGCAGTTCAGAGAGTGATACACGTATCCAAATATATAAAAAATGACATCTTAAATCCTGTAATTGCAGAAAAATGGTAGGAAAACTAAGCCCAAATTGACTTAAGAAAAGGGAAACTTATTAATTATGGAAAAGTTGAAGAGTGATTTTAGTTTTAGGCATGTTGTATAAGAAGATCATTCAATATGCTAGGGCATATAATTCTTTTTGTGTAATGTGTTTGAGGTTACCTATGTTGCCTCTGATTTTAAAATGGATTGGCTTCCTGTATTTCCAGAGCTATTTCCTTTCAGCTTCAAATCCCTCAATAAAATGAAAACATTTTAATCCCAGAATAATTAGAGTCTTCAGATTCATGTTGTTTAGAATTATTTAGTCAGGTACCCAGATTTGAATTAATCACTGGGGATATGTTACATTGATTAACTTTGGTGTGGATAATTTGTTCCAATCATTGAGGTGGGTCCACACATAGATGTCGTAGAGTGAAAACATGTTGCCATATATCCCCAGGCCAAAAGTATAAATGTTAGCATTTAAAAGGGGAAATGCATTCTAAAGAGATCACAGGACACGTTCCTAACTCTGCCTCTGACAGGGAAAGACAGAGATAATTTTTTAAACCTTTCCAGGTGCATAAAACAAAGGAAAGGATTGACTGTTCTGCAACAAAAAACTACTCCCACATCTTAATGCATGAAAAGATGTTTATTTCTTGCTTACACAACATCTGCTATGGGTCTGGTAAATTCTCCAGAGCAGTGGTATATCATGTGGTTGTTCAGATTCCAGGCTGCATTGATCTTGTTGAACCTCCATTTTAACATACACATTCTCGAGAAAGCTGGCTATATGGTGTTGTCAATTAAAAATGCCGTTTCAGTGCTACTCAGTTATGTCATTTCTGTTCGTAATGCGTTGAATAGAACTAAACACATTACACAGAGAGGTATAACCCCCTCTTGTCAGTTAAATGTCCAGAATAGAACCATGACTCATTGACCAGAGTTAGTTGCATGGCCTCATCCCACCATATTGGAATGTAGCAACATCAAATCTTTCTCTGTGCCAGAAGAAAACTAAACATGAGTGATTATTTGAAACCGCTACAAATTCTAGAACTGTCCAGGTGAGGGAATAGGAAGAGCAGGGTCGTGAAGGTGTAAAATAGTTCTGAGTTCTTGGAGCAACATGGATTCTAGCATTTTCGAAATGTCAAACACAAAGTGGAAATGTGGAAGAAGAGTCTAGGGAGTTGCATAGGAACCAGGTTACACAGCAATTTACAAAGCAGATGGTGATTTCTTCATGAAGTCTATCTTGATTTACTCTGAATTTAATCAGAACATTAACTTTTAGAACTTTTTAAAACATATTCTGCTTGTCTAAAACATTGCCCAATAAGATTAAAAGTTATCTAGGGGTATACACACGTCTTGCTCTTGGGAATTCCTTTACTGCCAGCAAGAAGAAATTCTAATTATGGCTAAAATGGATAACTTTGATATGCTACCATATAATTTATACTTTGTGAAAACACTCAGACATCATGTAGTAGTCACAGCTGAATGGCTTTGTAGAGTATTGGCAGCCTGGATCTGGAGTCCATATCAGTCTCTACCATAGGCTTTATCGTGGCATTAGGTTTATTATTTCATTGGCTGAGGAATTCTGATTTCCAGTGCTGTCAGTCAGATGCATAAGACAGGATCACAATTCATTGTAACATATTTAAAAAGTGAGACTTCAGAGATAAGTGCTGAAAATGAAAGGATATATTTGATTATATTTTGAACTTGCTTAAAGTTTTGTTGATCAGTTGAAATGTAAACAGCACAAACAAACTTTATGAAGGTTCATTAATCCTAGAAAGAAGTATCAGAATGTTTAGCTTTCTAGAAAAATGAAAGAGGCTAATAGGAAAAATAGCTATAGGAGAGAAGTAGAGAAGTTTTGTATAAAAATTTTGCTAAAAGTAAAAAGACTTCCGTAAAGACCCTCTGATTGATGACTAAGTCAAGACATTGACCCTTAAATATGTACAAATATCACTGGGAATTGAACAATGAGATCACTTGGACACAGGAAGGGGAACATCACACACCGGGGCCTGTTGTGGGGAGGGGGGAGGGGGGAGGGGGGAGGGATAGCATTAGGAGATATACCTAATGTGAATGACAAGTTAATGGGTGCAGCACACCAACATGGCACATGTATACATATGTAACAAACCTGCACGTTGTGCACATGTACCCTAGAACATAAAGTATAATAAAAAAAATCAAATTAGAAATAAAAAATGTACAAATAATTTACTTCTTTATATCTGAGTTTTTACATTTTGCACATTGAAGTATAGGAATCGACCATAGCTAATGTAAGGATTTATAAAGGCATATATCTTGTTTTCTAAGCTTAACAATTATTGAGCACTAACATTAATTTGATTTGATTTGGTTTGGAAATTACCTAGATAACATCTCTGGTTGTAGTTTTTGTTTAGAAGAAATTTTTATCACACC